CTTTGCGAGATCTCGCATTCTTTGCGAGATCTCGCATTCTTTCTTTGCGAGATCTCGCATTCTTTGCGAGATCTCGCATTCTTTCTTTGCGAGATCTCGCATTCTTTCTTTGCGAGATCACTTTGGAATACTTTGCGAGATCTCGCATTCTTTCTTTGCGAGATCTCGCATTCTTTGCGAGATCTCGCATTACTTTGCGAGATCTCGCATTACTTTGCGAGATCTCGCAAATTTTTTTTTTTTTTCCTTCCATGTCCCCTTAGGGGCTCCGTAGAAACCCATGTTATACGAGTGTTTTTATTTTCTTTTGTGGGCCACATCAAGTTACGTAGACCAGATGTAGTTTGTGCCCGTGTACCACTCGGCTCACAGCACGGCAGTGTCCAGCCATTATCAATAGATCTGAACCTGTGGAGATGTGGTTCTCAAACTTTTTACATCAAATGTCACTTAATAAGAATTTGAAAATACTAGACGGGCTTTAGTTCGAAAAAGTATATTTATATTCAACTATTGTAAGACACTACGGAATTATGCAGTTTAAAAATAAACTCTGTGCTTAAAAATAAAATACAGTACTTCGATAATAATTCAATTAAAATGTACTGCATGTAAACATTAAATAAAAATTGTAGGAGGTAGCCATAATATAAAATGTAATCATTTCCCTTTCAGATAAATTGGGTGTTATGTTTTGTGGGTAAATGGCTTGCTGTGAAAATAGGTCTGAATAAAAATTAATGAACCAAACTATCTCAATAGAGGTTTAAGAACAACATTTTCTTAGAGATAAAATGTTTTATATTCAGGTGCGGAGCCAGAAAATTTTCAGTGTGGCAATGTGGCACAACAACTCACTGGCCGGGTTTACGGAGTCTTTTATGGCCTTTTGATTGAAATCATTCCGAATGAAGATTTCTGGTCAACTATTTACAAGTGACGTGATCTATTCCGATGTGCTGTTTACATGCTCTGCTACGTTAATAAGACCAGTTGTGTTACAGCCTTGTGACACACACAGATCAATGGAAACATCACATGATTAATCAAGATGGAGGTCATTCGCCTATTTAGCTCAGTAGTTGTGATAGTTTTAGCACTTTTATTAATTAAAGCAAAATCTTGATGAAAACATGTTACAGGTATGCCCCTAGCAGACGAGCTCTGGAAAGACACCGCCATCTAAGTGTGTATGCAATGAGGTCACTCAATGAAAAATAATTACGATAATTATAAATAATGCTGGGCAGCATGCTGGTCAACTGGTTAGCACGTTCTCCTCACAGTGCAGATGTGCAGGGTTCAATTCCGGCTCTGGCCTTCTTGTGTGGAGTTTGCATGTTCTCCCGCGTGGGTTTTCTGCAGGTATTCCAGTTTCCTCCCATGTTCCAAAAACATGCATGGTAGGTTAACTGAAAGTTCTAAATTCTCCCTAAGTGTGATTGTGCGTGTGAATGGTTGTTTGTGCCTTGTGAATGGTTGTCAGCGAGTTCAGGTTATCCCCCGCCTACTGCCAGAACATGGCTGGGATAGGCTTCAGCGCG